GTAAATATGTTTTTGCAGACTTATGATATGTATATTATTTGCCATTTTGACTTCCGCTGATGTTTTCAGACTTTCAATCTGGCATGTCAGTTCTTGAATTTTGATCCGAACATTTGGTCGGATTTATACAATATGACACACTAATAAAGGATATTCCGTTTTTCTAAATAAGTTCAATTTAACTAAGTTAACGGATTTTCAGAAAGATATGTATTCTCTGTAGCATCCCAAATCATGTTTTCGCAAACTAATACGTATTTATTAGAAAAGAATTTGCGAAAATTGCACTCTGATTTTAATAAGCTAGTGGGGTGTTACAAATGGTATCAGAGCACGTTTTTGTGTATTCTAAATATGTTATTAAGTCATAAAAATTTCAGAAAAGACCCGACCACGCTACGCTCGCACCTTGCCGACTACAGGTAAGTGCTAAGTTACAGTTTATATATATTTTAAACGGATGCTTTAGTCTATGCTCAGTAAAGGGTGTCAGATATTTAACCCTAGAAACCAGTAAGATGCTCGAATTAGTGATCCAGTATAAGTCGATTGTCCCAGTTATTTGATATTTCGACTTTAGTTTTCTTGGGTTAATATTAGCAACTCTTCAAGAGATCTGTGCGCATTAGTAATCAGTAAAGTATTTTATCATGTCTGCGTCTGATTACGTTGATCTTTCCAATACTCAGATGCCGCCTCGTAGAGAACCAGGTCATCAGGAGCTCCCTCAGGCCACAATAGTCGCACACTTTCGCGACTACCATCCAGAAAAGTTTTCCGCGTATAGTGGACGAATGGGTTCAGGGCCTTGAAATGATTTTCGAGGTCATGGACTGTTCGGATCATTATCGCATGATATGCGCACAAATCCAGCTGACCGGTGATGCCCGACTTTGGTGTAATGCCCATTGGGGTATGCGTCCCGGCGAGAAAGAAAACTGTACATGGGACCAATTCAAGGAGTTGATCTACGGGAAGTACTATCCCTCATACTACCGAACAGATATGGAGCGCCAGTTTTTGGCACAGAGGAGAAGAGAGCTCTTCGTTTTACCGACGGCCTTCTCCCAGCAGTCCGCCACAACATCGTAGGTCACGGCGTCCAGAACTACGCCCGCACAGTCGCCATTGCCCAGGAGATAGATGCCAGCATTCAACGAGAAGCTAATCCGACTTTAGCCTAGCCAGTTGCTCAGCCACCAGCCCAGCCCAACATTGGCCAACCATCAAAGAATCAGAAGAAGAGGAAGTTCAGAGTAGGCCCAGACGATCGGAGGAATCGCCCCAGACAAATACCTAACTGCCCGACGTGTGGAAAACGCCACCGTGGAGAATGCCTTGTAGGCCAGAACATCTGTTTCTTTTGTCGCCAACCAGGCCATATCAGCCCTAAGTGCCCAGAACGACTGCAACAACAACAACAGCCACCTCAGCAACCTCAACAACAACAGCAACCTCGACAACAACCTCCACGACCCCAGCAGCAGCAACGCGACAGACAGCAGGCCCGCGTCTTTGCAGTTGATCAGAGAGAGGCCGACGAGCACCCAGGTACCATGTCTGGGATGATTGTTCTTAATGATGTGCCTGTTTATGCCTTATTTGACACCGGAGCGACCCATTCTTTTATATCACGCCGATGTCTTGAAGCTATAGGAGTTCATTCTCTTACTACTGTCGATCCTCTCGAGGTGAGTTTAGCCTCAGGACGAAAGATAGTGACTGAGGCCAGAGCCACCGATCTCAGCCTTTCCATCGGCGGCCATATTTTGACTTCTGATGCTTATGTTATCGAGATGAGGGATTTTGACCTCATACTCGGTATGGATTGGCTAACACGTTTTCACGCAGATATCCGATGTCATGACCGGGAGATTACTCGTTATCTTCCGGGAGATGATCAGATCACTTATTTCGGCTCCAGGACTCGTACTTTGCCCCATATTATTTCTATGGCGACAGCCAAGAGGATTCTTCGACGGGGTGATTTCCAGGGTTACCTTGTGAGCCTCATTGGAGATGAGCCAAAAGCACGTTCACCTCATGACATTCCTATTGTTCGTGAGTTCGTGGACGTATTTCCAGACCAGCTTCTCGGAGGTCCACCTAACCGACAGGTGGAATTTTCTATTGATCTTATCCCTGGAGCCGGACCCATTTCTAAGGCGTCGTATCGAATGGCACCTAAAGAATTGCAGGAGGTAAAGACCCAAATTCAAGAATTGCTGAATCTCAGTTTTATTCGACCGAGCGTCTCACCTTGGGGAGCACCCGTTCTCTTTGTCAAGAAGAAAGACGGATCTATGCGTATGTGTATCGACTACTGGGATCTTAACCGGTTGACAATCAAGAATAAATATCCGCTTCCCAGGATCGACGATTTATTTGATCAGTTGAGGGGTGCCTGTGTATTTTCTAAGATCGATTTACGTTCAGGCTATCATCAGCTGAAAATCAAGGAGTCAGATATACCTAAGACAGCGTTTCGTACGAGATACGATCACTTCGAGTTTGTGGTTATGCCGTTTGGCCTCAGTAATACCCCGGTAGTATTCATGGACTTGATGAACCGTGTATTTCATCCTTTTCTCGATCAGTTTGTTATTGTATTCATTGATGATATCCTTATCTATTCTAAGAGCCAGAAAGAGCATGAGGAGCATCTGAGGGCCGTTCTTATGACCCTTAGACGAGAAAAGTTGTACGCAGAGTTCTCCAAGTGCTAATTTTGGCTTCAGCGAGTGGCTTTTCTTGGCCACATTATCACTCAAACAGGCATTGAAGTAGATCCTTCCAAAATTGCCGCAGTTCAGAA